AATGTATTATAATCATTGATTTATCTTTGTATGTGACTTTGAGTTAATATATTCATCTCTGAGATATTCTATAAATCTATGTGTTTTGATAATAGTATAGTTTAGTCAAAAATCACTTTGTATCTTCGAAGATGTACTATAATCAAGATATTTCATTGTATAGTTATCTCAGAAAATTACGACGTAATGTAATATAGTATTGTATAACATATAATTTAGAACTACCAGGTTATCTGATCTTTTGGTTTTTATATAATATTAAATCTCTTGTTTGAATTATACTACATATTACTAATCGAAAGTAAATGAACATAAACTTTATTTGGAGTCAGTACCATGTAGACAGTTATGTTTGTTTGTTATCTTATCTCAGATTCTGTTTTGTGTATTCTGAATAATGCCTTGATTATATTAGATTTGTGTAAAATTTAATGTGAAAATAAAATAAAATTCTTTAATTGTAAATTATTTATTAAACAGTTTTAATATTGTTAATTATTTGCAGAATGTTAGAATATTCTAGTATAATAAATTGATTGTTTATATCATAGCTTTATTGTTTTAATAATAGTATGGTTTATGTTTTGATACAGTTGAAATGAAGAAACTACGAAATCAAGGGAAAATGAGCTTTTGATCCTAAAGGAAAGAATGTCGAACAATTTCTATCATCGGAAATAGATAAAGACAAAAAAAAAGTCATACTTCATAATACTTCATCTGATAGCTCGTCATCTGATCAAAACGCGTCAACAGAATATGAACTAGTACATATGACATTATAGTTGTAATTTTAGAATATATGATGTATAATGTTGATATTCAATTATGTATTTACAAGAATAATACTTGTAATGTTTTAGTTTATATCATGTAATGTCAAGTAACATCTTTCTCATATTACATGAGTTTATATATGTATAACATTCTATTAAAATTAGGCTTTTATATACAACTATAGAATAATGTTCTAGGATATTCTAAGTATATGTACAATATCCTAATAAAATAATGTTCTAGGTTTTCTATTAAATAAGTCGATTTACTACATGTAAATATTGTGTACATATAGAATATTTTAATATAATAATATTGTATATGACATCTTTTCAAAAGTTATATGTAAAATATTATGATAGAATAATGTTCTCGGATATTTTAAGTTATATATAGAATATTCTAATAGAATATTCCTTAATTAAAATTAGGTTTTTTATATTTTTATAGAATTTCTAGAGTATTCGAAGTTATATGTAGAATATTCTAGTAGAATAATGTTCTACGTTTTCAATTGAATAAGTTGATTTACTAAATGAAAATAATGTGTATATATAGAATTCTAATATAATAATATTGTATATGACCTCTTTCCAAAAGTTATATGTAGAATATTACGATAGAATAATGTTCTCGAATATTTTAAGTTATATGTAGAATATTTTAATTGAATATTTCTTAATTAAAATTAGGTTCTTTTATACTCCTGTAGAATTTCTAAAATATTCTAAGTTATATGTAGCGCGTAGCATATTCTAATATAATAATGTTCTACATTTTTTAATTGAATAAGTTTATTTACTACATGTAAATAATGTGTATATATAAAATATTCTAATATAATAATATTGTATATGATCTCTATTCAAAAGTTATATGTAGAATATTATAATAGAATAAGGTTCTCGGATATTTTAAGTTATATGTAGAGTATTCTAATAGAATATTTTTTAGTTAAAATTAGGCTTTTTATACTCTTATAAGTTATATGTAGAATATTTCTTAATTAACTTACATTATGTAAGATTCTAATATTATATGTAATATTATGTAATAGTCTAAATTTACAATTTATAGCGTTATAGGAATATATAGAATAGTCTACAAAAAAAATGATTTATAGAAAAAAAAAATTATAATGTTAATGTGTAACAATCTGAAAGATTGTAATATGATGTAATATTCTATTATAAGATGAAATATTCTAATTCAGACTATCATTCCTTTCAAGTGTGTAGGAAACAAAATAATACGTAGGAACCTAGACTAATAAACTTTTTAAACGAGTGAGAAACATATAAGCTTATAAAATGAAGTGAAAACTTTTAGAATAAATATCAAACTTTTCTCTGGAAGTTAAAACCTATTCTAAAACCTCATAGACTAAAAACCAAATTTCAAGTTTGTACTATAAAAAATATATCACAAGGTTACAGTATTTAATAATATGTTGTTATTTGATATGTAATATTATGAAACTATATGAAATATTCTAATATTAAAGTGTAATATTTTAAATTGTGTTATAACATATAAAATGAACTTATATTACATAATATTCTAATGTTATATTTAATATTCTGAATATAAATACCATTCTAACAGAATAATTTAATTAGGTTGTCTACATTCAAGTTACAATTTAATATTATTATAGAATAATATTATAGGATGTTTGTATATGTATAACATTCTAAATACAATGTAACACTAAATGATTATATGAACATCAAATATCGAACTAGAATATAATAATATATATGTAAGAAAATTAAAATAATGCACAGCTTATTTGTAAATACCAATGTAAAAGTAAAAACTTAGAATATAGTGTTATCGTTTTATTTAATTACCTCAAATACATCACTTGAAACCAAACAAACAAAATATAAGCAAATTTATAACATCCCACTACATTGAATGAGACACTTCAGAAAACTATTATCGAGCCACATTCTCTACAGTTTCATTCAAGATTTACCTAAAAAGGTGTAATGATAAAAAAAACATGAAAGTTTTAACTAATTTCATAACTGTATGTACCACTTTACACTTTGAAAGGGGTTTGATGGGTATTAGGATATATATCTGCTGTAATAATAATGTTTAAAGTTGCACAAATATAGGGAACAATTTCATCAAGAAAGAAATAAAGAGAGTGCAGGGAGTAAATTAAAACAAACATCCTCTTTACAGATTTCGATTCTAAAGATGAACCAAGTCCTCATCATCCGTCAACTTCTTAGCCACTTTAACTCTTTATGGACCAAGCACCATTGAAACCAACATGTCAATATGCTTCTTAGAGTTCTCATCATTAATTAATGGTGGCAAGATATGGATTATATGCTTCTTCCAACATATGCACTGAACATTTGCATCGATAACAGTTGTATGTCCTTCAATCACTGAAAAAAAGAAGAAGTACACCAGTCATCACTAAGTTAAGAATAATCAGCTTGGAATTTGGGGTTAATATCATTAAATAGTAACAAAGTTTAAGGGTGGGGAGGAAGGAGTGATATATCATACTCTACATCAGATTTTTTATTCATTCAGGACTTTCATCAAACAGGTAGAGTGCATGTAAAATGTAAGAGAATTGGCTCAAGAACAATAATAATTATGTACATACCTCATTCATTTTATACAATGAACACAAAATAACATGAAGATACATTGTTTTTGCTTGCTTATCTTCATTTAATATGTGCTCAAATGCACAGAAAAAAAAACCAAAAGCTTGATATTGATAATCGATGACTGAAATCAAATACTTGAATTGATAATAGATTTAAGATGAATTTAAATTGATAAAACACCTTATTTGAGAGTAAAATTGAAGCATCAATATGATGGATATCGATATCAGTTGATGAATGGCTAAAAATCGTTGATCAAAAACTCAGGGGAAGCAAAATCAAACCTTGATCAATTTATGAAATCACAACTTGAAAGATCATTAGCAATTATTAAAGATGAAGATTAGTAGAAATCGACTGGACACTTTAACTTCTACCTTGGATGAAATCGATGATCACAAAGCTAAAATCAATAACAATCTTGTAATGAATTGTTGATGTCGATAGATGAACATAAACCTCAATCACTCAAATCGAAGCAAATATAAGATTGATTAGCATGAATCGGAGATTAAAGGGATATTGACCGATTAGTATGAATTGGTAGAAAGAATCGAAGCAGCTGGGTTTTGTGATAACGTGAAGATAAAAAATCTGAAGATCTAAAATTTAATCTAGTGATTAATCTACCCCTAATTAACTAATCTTTTAGATTAATTAGTATTAATCATGTTTTCTAATGAGCCACAAGATTAGTTTTGATCAAATGCTTAGATTTGGTCCTCATGTCTCACAAAATATAGGTGGTCTCAAATGAACCTATATATATATATATATATATATATATATATATATATATATATATATATATATATATATATATATATATATATATATATATATATATATATATATATATATATATATATATATATATATCGGTTTGGTTAAAAACCTAAAAGAAATTTCAAAAAATAATAAGACAAGTTGCACACTTTTTTTAGACAAAACAAAAGATGTACATCATTGATCAATTTTCTTATTACTAAAATCGCTCATGCACACATGACATAGTTTGGTGATTTTAAATTAAACCAAAAGGCTTCTAGTCTAGCGGTATTAGGTGGTGCCCTCCCTCTTTGAGATCGAGGGTTTAAGTTCCGTCGTGAACATGGGTGGAATTAGGTGTTAGTTTAGAAGTAGATATAGTATATTTGTATTTGCCGGTTCAAAAAAGAAAAAAAAAACTGGGTTAAGTTTGTTAAATTCTCATAATTAAATTACTAAAACCCTTTTTTGACATTTTACATGATGCATTAACTTGCTACTTTTTGCCTTAAAACAAGATAAGCTTATATAGTTATAAAATAAAATCCGTATTATTATTATTTTATCATAAATGTTAATTAATGATTAAACACTGCCACAATAATCCAAATCATTCCAAGAATGCGGTTGCAACCCTATTTTAGCATTCAATATTTTGACAAGAGATCTTTAAAACTATAATTTTATTTGGTGTCCCAGGTTAATGCATTTTTCATGATACTCTATTCTCTAAAGTTTAAGAATTGAAGTCTCAAAAGCTCTTAATATAAAGTCTCAAAAGCAAAATACTACCTAATCTAGCTCCTAAATATTATTATTTATGTCTCCTAAAAAGCTCGATCATACCTTTTATTTGAATGAATCCATTAAAACCAAAGGCCCTTTGGTCTCATAAATAATAGATGAAGATGCATTTTTGGTGTGGAGCAACAACAAAGTAAATAACTCAAGAAATAACTTTTTATCATGAACGCGTCTTGGTGGTGTGGAATTGTGGGTTGCGTACTGAGGTTTTCTCAAGGAAATTGCGTAGCAGCTTTACGCAGGAGAGTGTGCAAGTTTTTACAGGATTAAATTCCATGCTTCCCTAGCTCATTAAAATCTTCAAACCCTAAAAATTAACACAAAAGTGTGCGTTTGAAAAATTAGCTCAAAGCCATTTGATTTCATCATATCTTCTTCGTCGATCAAGATCTTCAATCATAAAATCTACCCACTAGCTAGCTAGTATTCAAAAAGAAACTGAAAATCCTACCTTTAATCTATATCAGTATCATTAATTTCAAGTTCTTCAAACCCTACAAGCTACAGCCCATAAGTTTTCTTTTAATTAAGAACATGAAGATCAAAACCCTTTGATCTCTTTGTCTTCTAACTTTTCATCACTTTTTATAGAACTTGCTTTTTTCAGGTGGGTTGGTCGATCGCATTCTAACACAGAGCTATATTTGCCTAAACGATGGACCATTATTATCAGAACCTTGAATTTGTGGGTTAATTATTTTCTTCACTTTCCTCCGTTAACTTACGTGCGTTTGTTTAAATCTAACTTACGTGCGTTTGTTTAAATCTTGTTTTAATTTTAGATTTTCTGCCTTAATTAGCAGGATTATGAGTCGTCGGCGAATTCAACTTCAGCACCAATAAACTTAAAGTTGATATTTTCAGACGATGTGGTCGTTTCTCCGGTGTTCACGAGACAAAAGATCACCGGAAAAAACGGTGGAAATGAGTCCATCAAAGTCATCTTGGTTGATGCCGATACACACGAACAAGTCACCACAGGGCCGATGGCCTTCTCGAATGTGAAGATAGTTCTACTTCGTGGAAATTATGATGGCACCACCATGGAAGATGGCGAGTTCGAGAAAAACATCGTGGTCAACTGGGGGAAAAAGAAAAATCTTCTTGTCGGTGATGTTTATGTTCATCTTCAACATGGAACTGGAACAATCGGTGAAATCCGAATCCAACACGATAAAAATCATATCAGAATTGTTGAATTCCGATTGGGAGCAATGGTTGTCGATTCATCTTGTTCCTATCAGGTCAAACAGGCTATATCACAATCTTTTAAAGTCAAGGATCGTCGAAATGCTCAAAAGTCCCTCAGATCGTTGTCTCCAACAGACAAGGTGTGGCAGCTGAAGAATATCAGTAAAAATGGCGTCATCAATAAGCGTCTGGAGAGAGCAAACGTCTGTAACGTGAACGCTTTTCTCGATATGTATTATTCCAATCCTCAAGCCCTCCAAGAGGTAATTAAACGGTTAATTTCTTAATTTCCTCTCGAAATCATATCATGTCTTTTGATAGAAATTTGAGATTTTTGAACTGCAGATATGTCGTGTCAAAGGCAAAAACTGGGAGACAACCGTAAATCATGCGAAAACATGCAACGTAGACGTAGTGGTATATATGTCTTGCTTATTAACGTTTGTTGAACGTAATCATTGTTTAAACTTCTAATATATCTGGTTTAAAGTGGTTTGGTTTTTGTAGGGTAATGCTAATTATAAGGCCTCCGGACGAATTGAATCCACCTCTCAAGAATCGAACATTCCATCATCCTTTGATGATGATTGTTATTTTACGCAGCCTTATGAAAACGACTCTATGATTGTGGATAATAATTTTTCGATCAATGATGTTGAAGAATGTGATATGGATGTATGGTTACATGAAAATGATGAAGGGTCACTACTATGTCAAGACTCTCGAGAAGATGGAATTCGTTGTGCATTGAGTATGGTTGAGTTTGAGGGTGCTAAGGCAAAAAAAAGATGGATGAAAATGCGTACATTGTTGTTCTCGATTGCATCTTTTATGTGTGGGTGCGACATGGTTGGCTAAGATGGTTTCATCCGGCTCGAATAAATGTATAGTCTTGGATGAATGACTGCTAAAAATAAAAAATAAAAAGGGTTTTATGGGTGCGATATATAATAGAAAATAAAATTTTGATGTATGAATTCTTTTAGTCTATCTCAGTCTCATTGTCGCGTAATCTTATACCGGACATAATTAAATAATTGATAGAGCCGTTTGTGGTCCACGAACAAAGATCATCCCGATGGTTTTCGGGGAATAACGGTATGAGCATAACATATGGATCTCAATGACGATTTTGTAGGAGTTTTTGTTTGGCTTTTGTTAGTCAACGTATAATTATACAGCAATGCTTTTAATTTTGGAATTTATAAATTAAAAGATCAACGGAGCGGTATCGTATTGATAACGTGGGCCAAACAGCGTGAATAAATAAGTTTTTTAAACCATATTGCAAATGTGCCTTTTGTTGAAACAGTTTCTTTTGATAATTTAATGGACAATACCACTATTGGACTATCCAATAAAATAACCAGACAAAATCATGATACTGACGTCGTCAGACAATGGTAACTGGAGTCTTGCTAAACAAGAAATAGCGTGGCCAATCAGAAGCTGCTTGGAAACGCCGACATGAATACACCGAACCTGAGGAAAAGCTCCCTCTCGAAGGATAGGGTATCAATACGAAACAAGACACGAAACCAATAAGCTTAACAACAGCCTAAGTAGGCCTACGGGAGATCCACGCAACTACCAAGATTAATCACATAGCCGAGGTGAAAGTTCTGAGGCACTGCCAAAAACAATCGTGTAAGATATAATATAGGGCAGTTGGTCAACAAGTGTCGGTCGCAATAAAATAAAGACTCTCTATGACTCAAAACCCCCAACCTACATCGTACCAGATCAGATCAAAGTAAAGGGGTATCCCGACAAGTAAAAATGTATTTCCGACAAAAAAAATCACGTAATATATAATAAAAAAAATCCAAAAAATTACACAACTGAAAATTTTTTAAAGGGCATCCTGGCTACCCCAGGATACATACTAGATCTGCTATATACTAGATCTGCCTATGACGGTAGCACATATTTTTTACCGATAAAGCGGCGCAATATAAAAAGATTACAAAAAAAATATATATATATTACGCTTCTAAACGAAATTTAAGAAGATAAACAGGCTACCCCGTGCACCTATGTAAATCCATCCCTGACCACATATTAGAATCAAGAATTGGTTAATAATATACGTTCATTGCATGGCAAAGAAGAAAGAAAAAAAATGCTTACTCAAGAGCATTTTTAGTAGCGATATTCTCTAGCAGTTTTTGACGCTGTTGCAGGGGAACCCTGCAAGACAAATTTAGTTTTTGATTTAATTGTTTTAGGTTAATCGATCTTTTTTTGGGATAAAACCTATAAAAAGTTAATTTTTAGCTTTAGTTTTTTTTTTTTTTTTTTTTTTTTCTAAATTACTGAAATCACGACGCGAGCTCTTAAAGTTCACGACGTGATCTCACCTGTTTTGTGTTTTCTTTCGTTTTTGCTTTCTGTTTAGTTTACCTGCTTCAACACGAGGTGGTATCATTACCATGTCGTGGTGAACGTTCAGTAGGAATTTTTAATTATTTTTTGTTTGTTTTTACGCTTTTTATTTTTGATTTTATTACAGTATGTGACATCTCGGGATTTAGGTCAATGACTGTGAATGACCAAGTTCATGGTAACTCTCTTTGTAAATTTATTCATTGAGTTTTAGTGCATCTAATATAAATAAATGAGTTGTTTCAGTTATTATAACATATCAAACAGTATGTTACTTCCAAATACATATGCTAGTGTACATAACTAGTTATCTTACTTTCAAATACATATGTTAGTGTACATAACTAGTAAAATAAACCAATACTCATCCAAATGCACAAATAATTATGGTATTTCATTCCTTCTAAATCCAAACCAAACAAATACATATGATAATTTATTAATTACAAATTACACACACATTACATAATAAAACAAATATATAATACAAATTTAATTTATACAGAAATACATTTATTTAATATGTCAAATACAAATAAATAAATACAAATAAATAAACAAAGAGACAATGACAACCAAGATTTCATGTTACTTGTAAGACTTGTTATGAACATCTGAACACTCAAAGATTAATCCTTACACTTCATTGTGTTTCTTCCCACATATCCTTCCTCTGCCTCACTACAACTCACAGGTATGGGGAATGTCCTGTGTGATATTGCTTCCACATTTCAATATGTCTAAAATTATACACACAAGGGAAACCAATCCTTTACGTGAACAAGTGAAAACGTTACACTCTAATACCTCTCTTCTTCCCTGTAATCAAATAAATAATACATCAACAACCCAAAACAATTGAACTGAAAATTGATCAATTATGTATTGCCTACTCCTATTTTGTCCTCAACCAAGAAGAACACCACATGAATCCTTTTGCTTTTCTTCGTCCCCTTCATTTTTCTATCTTCTTCCTTGTGAAAACAACAAACTAAAACACCCATCTTTTCCATCCATTCAATCTTGATTGAAAAAAAAGGAAAGATAAACCATTACCTGTTGTTGATTGTTGCTCCCTTTCCTGATCATCAAAAATCCTAATGTCGGGGTTTGTCACCGGAGACCAATGGCAGACACCCCCCCCCCCCCAATCGATGCTACTATTGTGCCTATTCGTTTACCCCATCAACACCACCCTATCAACCCCCTTTCCTCCTATACAACCTCATTGAACCATATACACTCCCTCCGTGTAACATCCCAAAAACACAGTCTGAAAATTTCATTTAATTTAATGATAAAACCATAGTCAATAAACCTCATATAGAAATCATAAGCAATGTATCTCAAAATATTATAACAACTGTCAAATATATCAGAGTATAAACATCCCAGGCTGAACAAATGGTGTGTGCACTGCAATCTTCCCGAGCTCCTCTTTTGAAAACTGAGTACCTGAAACCAAAACTGAAACTGTAAGCACGAAGCTTAGTGAGCTCCCCTAAACTACCACATACCATACAATAACATATAAAACATATTGGGCCTTGCCCACTGCATCGGACGAAGCCCGAAACTGCATCGGACCGAAGTCGGAACTGACTGGGACCTTGTCCCCTGCATCGGACCGAAGTCCGGAACTAACTGCATCGGACCGAAGTCCGGAACTGACTGGGACCTTGTCCCCTGCATCGGACCGAAGTCCGGGACTAACTGCATCGGACCGAAGTCCGGAACTAACTGCATCGGACCGAAGTCCGGAACTGACTGGGCATAGCATAGCATAGCAAAAACACATATCAAATAGCATAACACAGATCATAAACTCATATACTGCATACTACGTCAGGCCGTAGCCCATAACACTTAACACATAAATCCTGTCTGAGCCACGAAGGCATCAAACAAACTAACAACTGCATCGGACCAAAGTCCGGAAACTACTGCTACTAAACGGGCCGGCATTGTGGCCTTAGACCCGTTCCTACTGGAAGGAAACTCACCTCACACTGCTGAAGTCCCAGACACAATCCCACACTGCTGAAGTCCCGCAGACTCCACCCCAGCTGCTGGCTGACAGATTCCCGAACTGTCAACACCAAATAACACCCAATTAATAATTGGGTTCTAACACATAACTAAAAATACATGCTTTGGATAATTACTACATTACCCCTAGCTTGGCTTACCCAAGCCCAAGGCCCAATCCATAGGCCCAAAGTCAACTAGGGATCAAAGTCCAACATATGGCCCAATTGATCAGTCCAGTCCAACATGTATCATTCTAGGGCCCAATATCATACAACCATCTAGGCCCCAACTATGGCCCATCTATGGCCCAATTTTCCAAATTGGGCCCAATCCTTCATATGGGCCTTACCCTAAAGCCCAACTAATTACTCTAGTCCATTTGATTATTCTCGGATGGCCCAATACAAAGCCCAAGTGAAATTAGGGTTTCACATCAAATGATAACTAGGGTTAAGTGTTTCTTACTTAACCCACTAGGGACTTAATCCGTTAAGGACTTAATCCATTAAGTCCATTATTGCTTAGATTAATTTCTACCAATGATTATTATTTAATATTTCACTTATTAGATAATTCTTGTGTGCCCTGATAAATTCCCAAATATTAATATTTTTTCAATTAGCTCATTAAGGACTTAGTCCATTAAGTTCTTTACTCTACTTTATAAATGACATGAAATAGTTTGGGCTTAATTCACAATCTAATCCCAATGGCCCAAAAGTGGGTCCAATAAGTCTAAGGCCCAATTACTCACAATTAGGGTTTTCCACTCAAACATGGCCCAATAGGCCCAAAATAAATCTTTAAGCCCATTAAGGTTTTAGCTAGGTCCATTATGGTTTTTCTTGAGGGGCACCACCCACTACCACTTCGGGTAGTGGTGGTCTATGGCGGCTTACGGCGGCGGCCACCACCTTACGGTGGTGGTTTTGATTCTTTTCATTAATCCAAATTTCAAGTTACATTTTACAAGGTTAATCTCAATTAACCATACCCACACACTAAACTAATCACACACACAGCCACACCATGGTGGTCGGTTGCGGTGCTTGGCGGCAGCCACCACCTCACGGTGGTGGTGATGGCTTTGTCGGCCAAATAAACTCCCACACACCTCTCCATTGAAATAAACCCACACAAACAAGCTTCTAATTTGAAAGGTTCACCCCAGCCACCAGCTTGGTGGCTCACGGCGGCAACAACATCACCGGAAAGCGGTAGTAGCAGCGGCCACCATGGCAGGTGGCCATGGTGGTTCTTCTCTTCGAACTCCGGCCAACAACAAACTCACAGCGCCTCTCGGTTCAACACGACATGTGATAATCCATGTAGACTCGACTATCTCTTCGGGGTGGCGATCATTACCGGAGCAGCAGAAACAACCCCATGGCAGAGAAAGGAGCAAAAAGAGAAGAGAAGAATGGCGGCAATGGTGCTGGAACAAGAAAACAACACCCG